TATTCACTCGGTGTCTCGCTATGGGATGCAGCCTCCTGCAGCCCTGATAGAAGCATTTATCTCAATCTGCCAATCCTGATTGGCCAGTGAAAGTGCCCGTCTTACGCCACGCCCCGTAGCTCCGACTACTAAAGCGTGTGCGGATCACGGCACTTCAATTCAAAACCTCTTCTCACCTGAGAGCTTATCTCACGTCGGAGCCTTCTGCTAGTTTAACTGCCCACAGATGGACCTTGCTAGTTTCCGTCTCCGGACGCTAGCACTGTGCTATGGCTTCTGCCGTGTGCAAACGCGCGGCAGAGAAGCTGGAGATTCCCTGGCCGGTCGCAATAGCGGAGCCCACCCGGTCCTGCTACGAAGGCAAACGGCTTCCCTTGGCACGAAATGCGGTGAAGCAGCTTCTCCCTGTCTTCCCCGAGTTGCTGACGGAGCTCTCCAAAACATGGACTAGCTGCCCATACAGCAACAGGAGCCCTATTTCGGGCGCAGCATCCCTCGACTGCGAGGCGATGGACGCCCACGGCCTCCTCTCCATGCCTCCGGTGGAAGTCCCGGTAGCTGCGCACCTCTGCCCAGGCAGCGTGAGCCAGCTGTCTGCGGCTTCCCCCAGGTGCCCGACGCTGCCAGCTAAGCCTGAGCGGTTTCAGTCTGCGCTGACCGAAAGGGCATACAAAGCAGCAGCCCTCTCGGCCAGAGCCCTCAGCACCCTCTCCATCCTCACTGCCTACCAAGCGGAGTTGTTTGGCGTGTTTGCCATTCCCCGTTGCGCAGGTCCACCGTTTTGGCTTGTTTGTGTGCGCCCCGCGCCACCGTTGCCCATCCCAGAGCCGGTCCGCGAGGAGAGGGACATAGCCCCGGAGGTTTGCGCGGTTGCGCCCCGAGCGGAATGTCCAAAAGCACAGTCACACACCCTTGTTCAAAGAATAAATGGTGTCAAAATAAAAATAATAAATCTGTCACAGCCAGGCCACGAGCCGAGGGTGCAGATAATAAAAAAAAGCCAAAACAGACAATGCTCTCTCCATAAGCAGGGTGGCCGCTCAGCCCCCTGCAGCTCTGCTCCCGGGACGGGCACCGCCGTCCCCGCGGAGCAGAGCGGAGCGCCCCACCGTACCTCCGGTGGTGCCCGAGAATCATTTCTCGGTTCTACCACAGGGAGGCGCGGGGCAGGAGCCGCAATATGTTCCCCCGCTTTCTCTCAGATGGGAAAGCTGGAGAGCAGCAGCAGCTCCACCATGGGTGTTGCGTACAATTTCCCGGGAATACAGGCTTCAATTCGCCACTGTCCCTCCCCGCTTCTCCGGCGTAATACACTCACGTGCACAGGGAGAATCAGCTCGAGTTTTACGGGAGGAAATTCTCTCTCTGATTGACAAACGAGCGGTTTCCGTCGTATCTCCCGAACAGAGTCTGTCAGGGTTTTATTCCAGATACTTCCTCGTCCCCAAACGGGGGGGGAGAGGAATCCGCCCTATTCTGGACTTAAGAGCCCTGAACAAATTCCTGCGGAAATACAAGTTCAGGATGCTGACACATGCAGCACTGCTGCGTCTAGTAAGACCGAACGACTGGTTTTCGTCCATGGATCTGAAAGACGCGTATTTCCACATTCCCATTTATCCCCCTCACAGACAATATCTCCGATTTGCCTTTCAAGGGGTGTGTTACGAATACCGTGTTCTATCATTCGGTCTGTCTCTCAGCCAGAGGGTTTTCATACGGTGCACAGAGGCCGCGGTACCTCCGCTCAGACGCCAGGGGATACGTCTGGCCATGTATTTGGACGACTGCCTCCTGATTTGGGTTTTGTGATAAATATGGAAAAAAGCCACCTATCTCCAACGCAGGAGATATGCTTTCTGGGATTATCCCTGCGCTCTGTTCCGTTCACAGCCCGCCTGTCAGAGGAAAGAGTGACGG